TTTTGGAGCCACCGAAATTAAAATTTCCCTAGGCGAATGTGGTAGCTTATGCTAGCGCCCCTAGTGGTCATAATCGGCGGTGCAAGGTGGCAACGATCGGGAGTGAGAGTAGTGTAGCTACCTATTTATGTTAATTATTTGGAAATGGCGGATGCGGCACTTTCGCTGTTATCAGGTTCTGGTAGGTGCGCCCAGCGACGGTCATGGTCTTTTCTATGCTGGCTCCCACCCGAAGAGGTTACGTCGCTAGTACAAATCAATTAAATAGCGACTACCTTAATCCGCGCCGAGGTCAACTCACAGTGTTTCTGCCCGATATTTAAAATAAAACAAGATCGAAGCAATTATAAAGTGAACAAAAGTGTGGAGCAGCAACTAGATACCAAGTGGAAATAACAAGAGTGCCAATCGCCAATAAGCGGTAAGTCGGCCAGTTTTTATTCCAGTAGAATTGTTGGGCAACCATTTTTTTTTATGTGCAATTGCAGAATTGGCACTTAGTGCAATTTTAAATTCGAATTGCCCAGTCCAGCCAGTTGCCAGCCCAATGGTCGCTGGCTCATTAGCAGCTGACTCCAAGCAACAAAGCAGCTGGCATGCAGACAGCTGAGCGGGAATTCGCCGCATTCCATTCCTTGCTGTGTGACACTCATACCCTACCGTTGCACTTTGGAATTGTGATACTTTCAAATATAAGTTCACTCCCAAGGCAACCTATGTTTTTCCCGCTATCACTGTTGTTTCCTATAGAATATTGGTAGCAGGAGTTAAGTGAGCTACCTTTTTGTTACCACTAACCGCTTCAATTTCGTTCTATACTATTTTTGTTTTGTTTTCTCTCGTATTCTCTTCTATTTTGACTAGCACATACAAGATAAGCTGATACAAACCGTTACAGCCATATGAAAACGATCGCATGGCCCCCATACATTTTTATGAAATTTTTTTTTTCTTTTATTTTTTTTTGTTTTATTACCGACTAATCTCAGCATTATTAATAATAAATAAACTCAATTACTCGATTCGAGAGAAATGCCTTGTAACCGGAGCCCAGAAAAGTTCATTAATCTGAAAGACACTGAGACGCTTTGCTATTTGTGTTCGAAAAACATCGTTAATAAAGATCTAGCATTGGTGACGAGTTGTGGTCACACCTTCCACCCAGAGTGCTTTAATTCAGCCAATGGTCAAAGAAAACGTTGTCCAGTGTGCAAACAGGCCTTAGAAGTAGGAAGCTCAACGTCCATATCAAATCTTAACACCGCACGGGCATCAACTTCGAATTATAGAGCACCTTCAGTCGCTCAGTCACTTCTTACTAGATCCAAAGCCAAACAAATCGAAGGTGCAACCATGTCTGACCCTGCAAATGATCAGGAGAATGTAGAGGCTTCCACCCCGTCTTCGGCTAACAGAGCTACGAGGGATGTATTGCAAACAGTATTGGCTAGCACGATATCAGCTGAAATGGCAAAGCAAACTCTAGCTATGACCTCAGCATTGGCCCAGTTAACCGATAGATTAACACAAGCTATTAGTCTAGGCTTACAAGCCAGTTCGACTACTTCAGCTAGAGAGGGATCTCCAATCGGAATGGAACAGATGCCAACAGTGACACACGTTGAGCAGCAGAATCTTCAGCAACTGCTGTCCAATTCACAGTCTCATTCAGCTTCTGTTCAAGCAAGGGAATCTGATCGAAGATCCAGTCAGACTCCACTAGCTTTTGAGGTGCGTCCCGACCGCATAAGTCAGATAATGGCAAATTGGAAGTTGCGATTTAACGGGAAGGATTCGATGTCTATAGATAACTTCATTTATAGAGTCGAAGCCTTGACCCATCAAACCCTGAATGGGAATTTTGAATTGGTTGCTCGCCATTCTAGCAACTTATTTGAGGGCAAGGCTAGTGAATGGTACTGGAGATACCACAAAAGTGTATCTCAGATTCGTTGGTATGACTTGTGTTTGGCTCTAAAAGGGCAATTTAAAGATTCTCGCACTGATCGCATAATACGTACTGAAATCGAAGAACGTAAACAGCGTTCCAATGAATCGTTTGACGATTTCTACAGCGTGATCGCCTCCTTGGCAGATAAGCTCACACACCCATTGTCAGAGATGTCTTTATTAGAGACTTTACGGGCTAATCTGCTAACTGAGGTTCAGCAAGAAATTCTGTATGAACCGGCAACCACAATTGCTCAATTGCGACATCTTGTGCGAACCCGAGAAATTTTTATGCAAACGGTACACAAACCGTCCGTGGCCATACCGAAGCCAAAATATCGGAATATTAGTGCGGTAGGGCAGCAAACAGACTACGTTTCTGAGTCGGAGATTTCGGATAATGAAGAGTTGGATTTAGCTGCCATTGAGGCTTCTTGTTGGAATTGTGAGGCGAAGGGCCACCGTTACCAGGAGTGTTTAGCAGAACGGCGAGTTTTCTGTTTTGGCTGCGGAAAGGCTGACACGTATAAGCCTAGCTGTCGCCGTTGCAGCTTAAATTCCACAAAAAACTCAGCAGCGCGTGCACCGCAGAGAAGTGCACGCAAACAGTTTGTCTCGAAGGGGACGAATACCGATTAGATGGTACTCAACAATTGTTACATAAACTAATACCTGCCACGTCAAACCACCCTGATTTAAAACCTTTCATTGATCATTATACTCCCTTCCAAAGTATAACTCGTTCCCGATTACGTAGAATCGCCTTTAATCGTAAAAATAGGTCTGAACGCAAGATACTATTAGAGACGGTAATTGGGAAACTGCCTGATTTACGACCGTATGCTCAAGTCACCTTACTATGTAAAACAGTTGTTGGATTGTTGGACACGGGAGCTTCGGTGTGCTGCATTGGCGGACAGTTTGCTAAAGACGTGATAGAGACAACAACATATAAGCGGTTGTCGGCCTCAGTGAAAACGGCAGATGGTAAATCGCAGGACATAATTGGTCGCCTGACTACTGAGGTAGACTATCGAGGCGAATCCCGGAAAATTACCTTCTTTCTAGTCCCCTCCTTGTCTGGAGACTTGTATCTAGGTATAGACTTCTGGACGGCATATCAATTGCTTCGTCTTTGAGCGACCCTTTAAGTAGGTCATTAACTGAACAACAACAGCAATTCCTAGCAAAAACTATGCGCCAGTTTCCTTCGTTCGCTATAAAAGGTTTGGGACGCACTACCTTAATATCGCATTCGATTGATGTGGCGGACGCCAAACCAATTAAGCAGCGACATTATCCCGTTTCACCCGCGATAGAAAAATCGATGTACGACGTGTTCGGAGCAGCAGCCGATAATAGGTCTTCTTAATATCATATAGTCATACATCATCTCTTATACTGCTTATACTTATCGCTCTCTCAGTACGCTCCCGTACACACGCACATATGCCAGTACTGCTTATAGTGCATTGCTTCGCCCTGTTCTCGGTGCAGTCCAAAGATTCGTCGAACGCATCGAGTCGTAGTTCAAGGCCACGGCCTCAAACCATTTGTAACCCGTCGTGAAAATAAAAAACATTTGTAAACTTAACCAACGGAGTAAATTATTGTAAATGTGGAGTCAGAGTTGCCGAAAAAGCTCGGCAGCTTCCAACATTTTGGTGACCCCGACGTGATCGCCGTGGACTTACAGTGCGTTAAAAGTGTTTAAACCATTCAATCAATCCAAATTTGAAGGTTTAACATGACATTTGTGAAAAAGTAGCGAACCAAAAGTCGTTGTGACCGACCTTAGCAGTTCTAGCGGCCCGCTATTCGTTTTCGTATTCTCTTTCACCGTCTGCTTCAGCCTGCGCAACGCACTGTCGAGACTGGCTGCATAGAGTTCTAAGCGTGGTCCGTTAGTGTTCTTCGCCTCCTCTTTGGTCGTTTGCTTCAGCCAGCTCTTGTGAGAGGCTGCAGTAATAACTCTCTGAAATTCGAACTCGAAAGCAGAGTACATCTCTCTTTGCATAATCGTTGGTTTTCCGTCGTCGCTTCGTTGCTTTTACCGGTGCATACCTATCGCATATATAAGTGCCAAAAAAGTGAACGCAAAGGCGTTTGAACTCGTTTTGAACTCGTTTGAACTCGCGCGTTGCGTAATAATATTTAATTGTGATCGACTAGCACCCTCCGCGTCAACCGTTTTCTATAACCAAAACCATGGGCAAGAAAAAGAATAGCAGAAAGAGTGGATCGTTTGCTATGGACAATGAAAGTGATTCTGTGACATTTGGCGCTGCTCCATCGGGCGGAAGTTTTAGTGCGAATGCAGCCAGCACCCAAGTCCCTGTTCCGGTATCTCGTATTTCCTTCATGAGACTGAAGGCTAGAGCTATTTTCGATCGGCTAGAGTCCATACGCACAGAGATGGATAGTGAAAAGTTGCGTCAAATGGATGAATACGACTTGCGAGGGCTGTTGGAATCATTGACGGAGCTTAAGTCAAATTTTGTTGTGGCACACACCAGTTTGGAGGATTTGGATTTCGAGTCAATGTCCAGTGAAATTCCTGCCAAATTCGACTCGTCGATATTGTCGTTGAGGACCATTCTTCAGCGCGAGCTTGGAAGTCGCTCGAGCAATAAGCATTGTTCCACATTCAACGCCAACTCTAGTGAATCGCAGTCAATCGTCATAATGTCTAATCGATCTCGGTTACCTCATCTGGAGCTGCCCAAATTCAGTGGAATTTATACGGAGTGGGCCAATTTCTTCTCAATGTTCACCGCGATTATTGACAAGGAGTCTGAGCTGAGCCCTATCGAAAAGCTGCAGCATCTACGTTCCTGCTTGAGTGGCGCAGCCCTGAATACCATCAGCTCGTTGGAAATAAATGAAGCTAATTATATCATAGCATTAGACATTCTGAAGCGACGCTTTGATAATAAACGTTTTATTTTGCAGGCACACATCAGAGGGATATTTGGGTTGGAGAAGGCTGACGGCTGAAGGTGGGCAGATTGAGGGAATTGACCGACAGAGTTACATCGCATATTCGTGCTATGGAGTCGCTTGCAAGCAAGGAAGAAGTGGCGGATTGCATTATCGTGCAGACTGTTCTTCAGAAGCTGGACAAAGCCTCTCAAAATAGATGGGAGGAGTCTTCGTCGAATCAAGAGCTGCCATCTTGGGAGAAACTGTCTGGATTCTTGGAAAAAAGATGTCGCACGCTTGAAAATGTGGATCAAGGACAAGGACAAGATGGTCAGGTTGGCAAGTCCGGAAAAACCGTGAGTACGCATCAAAGAAAGACATTTGTAGCATCGAACGCTCCAGTTTCTTGTGAACTGTGCGAGAGTACTCATCACATGATTGCCAATTGTCAACGGTTTGCAATTCTATCGCCGAATGATCGTCGCCTGGAAGCCAAGAGGCTCTTGCTATGCCTAAATTGCCTACGAAAGGCCATCAATTGAGAGATTGTAGATCAGGTCCCTGCCGCACTTGCCGATCGAAGCACCACACTCTTTTGCATTTCATTCGTCCAACAGAGGCTGCCCAATCTGTTCCTCCAATTGAAGCCTCACCAGCACAACCAAGTCGTAACGCCATGGTTGCAGTATCGCCCTCCGTGCCTCAAGCCTTTATGTCCCACAGTCCATCTGATGCTGTGCTTTTAGCCACTGCCGTCGTTCTCGTAAAAAACAGCGTTGGAACTTTCGTACCCTGTCGCGCATTTTTGGATTCGGGATCGCAATTGCATTTCATAACTAGTCGTCTAGCTAATCAGCTAAAACTTCGAACAACCAAATCGCTTACCGCTGTCTCTGGCATAGGAGATCCTAGCTTCCCAACATAAGGTATCTCGGTGGATCTCGTTCTGAAATCGCGGATTTCAGAGTTCACCACTAGCATCACTGCCGTCGTTGCCCAGAAGATCACGGACCATCAACCTAGCATCACAGTTAGCACTGCTAGTTGGCCTATACCGTCGAATATCCAGCTTGCTGACCCTTCGTTCCATAAGCCACAGCGGATTGACCTGCTCATCGGAGCCGGACTTTTCTTCGAGTTGCTGTGTGTGGGGCAAATTCAGCTGGCGCCTGGACTACCGTTGCTGCAGAAGACACATCTAGGATGGATTATTTCTGGTGGCGGGCACTCGGCCCTCAATAACTCGTCGTTCATCGCAACCCAATCTTCGGATGACATCAATCACAGCACTCGGCTCGATGAGTTGGTTCGTCAATTTTGGGAAGTGGAGCACATCTTTGAGCCAATCGTTAGGGCAACAAAGGAGGAGCTGCACTGCGAGGACCACTTTGTCAAACATCACACTCGATTACCCTCAGGAGAATATTCTGTTAGCTTGCCCATGAAGCGAAGTCTGGAGTCCTTGGGCGATTCCTACTTGCAAGCAAAGCGGCGGTTGGAAAATTTGGAGCGCAAGTTCGTGCGTAATCCAGTTTTATATTCGAAATATTCGGCATTTATGAAGGATCATATGTCTCTGGTTCCAAATGAAGATAGACACAAGTGCAGATATTTCTTGCCGCATCATTGCGTCATTAAAGAGGATAGCTCCACGACAAAGCTGAGAGTCGTATTCGACGGCTCTGCAGTTACCACATCTGGTGTCTCGTTGAATGATCTGCTTATGTCAGGTCCCACCATTCAATCCAAGCTGTTTCACACTCTCCTTCGATTTCGTACATTTTCCATTGCTCTTACAGGCGATATCGGTAAGATGTATAGGTGCGTGCGTGTCTCAATGCCCGACACCATGCTCCAATGCATCTTGTGGAGGGACTCTGTTGACGACGATATAAAGATCTTCAAGCTAAACACCGTCACCTATGGGACTAAGCCTGCATCGTTTTTAGCTATTCGAGCTATGCATCAGCTGGCCATGGATGAGTCGTCTTCGTATCCATTGGGTTCGGAAACCATTCTACAGGACTTCTACGTAGACGATATGATTTCTGGAGGAAATTCAGTCGAGGAAGTGCTGGATATTATGCGTCAAACCACGGAGCTTCTTGCTTGTGGCAATTTTCAGTTAAGGAAATGGTGTTCAAACTCTCCTGATGTTCTTCGTGAAGTCCCTGAGGCAGAAAGGGAAAGTTTTCTGAAGCTCGATGATGGCAGCGATGTGACCAAGGCGCTTGGACTCATCTGGGAACCCCAGAGGGACAATTTCCTGTTTACTTTTGCACCTCAAATCGGTGTTGGCAAGCACACTAAGCGTTCGGTGTTGTCAACCATTGCACGGTGCTATGATCCTATGGGATTGATTGGACCCACATTGACCAGAGCGAAAATCATCATGCAGCGCATGTGGAGAGACAAGCTGCATTGGGATGAAAGTCTTCCTCAGCCACTGGAATCGGCTTGGACTGAGTTTTGCAAGGACTTCGCTACTGTGGGTAACGCTACATTTCCGCGTTATATACTTCAACCTAAGGCAAGGTTTGAGTTGCATGCCTTTTGTGATGCCAGCCTCCAGGCCTATGGGGCTTGTATCTACGCTCGTTCGTTTAGGGATACCGCCGATGAGGTACATTTGCTTTGTTCGAAGGCTAGAGTTGCACCATTGAAAACCCTCACGGTGCCTAAGCTTGAGCTATGTGCAGCGTTCCTGTTAGCCAATTTACTTCGCGAAATTAGGAAAATCGATACCTTCGACTGCCCGATCCATTGCTGGTCGGATTCAACTGTGGTACTGTCTTGGTTGCGAGAGGAACCATCCAAATTCAACGTGTTTGTGTCTAACAAGATTTCCGCAATACAGCAACTTACGAGGGGCATGGATTGGCGCTATGTACCAACTGAAATGAACCCGGCTGACATTCTTTCAAAGGGAGCAGCGCCTCAGGAGCTCTTGCAGTCTAGGTTGTGGATGAATGGACCTTCTTTCTTGCAAGGCGAAAGAAGTAGCTGGCCTGAACGTTGTTCGCCCGAACTCAGTCTTCCGGAAATTAGGCATCGAGTATTGCTGTCGTCTGGGCGTGTCGACATCTCGCTTTCGTTTAAGCACATTAACTCATTCGGAGTCATGATGCGCATTTTCGGATATGTTCATAAGTTCGTCAGCAAGAAAAGGTCACCTGATCTCTCGTCTGAAGACCTTCGCAAAGGATCGCACTTGTTGTGTCGCATCGTTCAACGCGCCCACCTTTATCCCGAGTACCGTTCTCTGCGGAAGGGGAACTGTGTGGAGTCCTCCAGCAGCATTATATCTCTCTCGCCTTTCATAGATGACGTTGGTTTGATTCGTGTTGGTGGCCGCTTGCGGCACTCAACTCTTGGCTTCGATGCACGCCACCCAATAATTTTGCCCAGGGATCATCCATTGACGTTCGCCATCATCATCCACTTTCATCGGAAGCATCACCATGCTGGGCCGCAGTCTCTACTGGGATCTATTCGCTTGCAGTTCTGGCCCATCGGCGGCATGAAAACTGTTGCTCGAGCGTTGCGGAAATGCATCATCTGCTGCAGGTCGAGACCTCGTCTTGTGGAACACATAATGGCTGACCTACCGAAGGATCGAGTGCAGGATTCGCCTGCATTCAGCGTCACTGGAATCGATTACTGTGGTCCCTTTTATTACAAGCCAGATGGCCGCACTCGAACGCCTACAAAATGCTACATCAGCGTCTTCATCTGTTTTGCAACAAATGCCGTTTGGTTGGAATTAGTGAAGGACCTCACAACTGCTGGATTTTTGAGTGCCCTCAAACGCTTCGTTGCCACGCGCGGCATACCCCGATGCATTTGGTCGGACAATGCCACCAATTTTGTGGGCGCGAGGAACGAGTTGGAGGACCTTCGGCGGCTGTTTATGAGCGAGAAGCATCGTGATGCAGTTCATAATCATTGCATCAACAATGGCTTCAATTGGAAGTTTATCCCGCCTCGCTCACCCCACTTCGGGGGCTTGTGGGAGGCAGCAGTGAAGATGGCCAAGCAGCATTTATATCGCTCCCTGGGATCGTCACTCTTTGGCTTTGACGAGCTGCGGACATTGGTCTGCCAAATCCAGGCTGCAATAAATTCTCGTCCTCTTCTCGCAATTTCAGAAAACCCTGAAGATCTTGGCGTCCTTAAACCAGGACATTTTCTAATTGGTCGTCCGCTGATGGAGTTTCCCGAGCCAGATGTTACAAATCTAAACTTTAACAGACTAGATTGCTGGCAAAGAGTCGCCTGTGCTCAGCAGATCTTTTGGAAGCGTTGGAGTGAGGAGTATTTGACTCTGCTACAACAACGTGCCAAATGGCGCACACCGCAGCCATCGATCCAAGTCAACGACATCGTCTGTATAAAGGACGAAAACTTGCCGCCGTTGAAGTGGCCATTAGCACGGGTGATCGACATCATCGCTGGAGCTGATGGCACTGTGCGAGTTGCCGTCCTGAAAACACCGTCTGGAACCACTCGTCGAGCTGTCAACAAGCTGTGCGTCCTACCCGTTGAGGATCCTGTTAAAAGCCTTAGTCTTTCAACGGGGGGGAGTATAGTCGGAGCAGCAGCCGATAATAGGTCTTCTTAATATCATATAGTCATACATCATCTCTTATACTGCTTATACTTATCGCTCTCTCAGTACGCTCCCGTACACACGCACATATGCCAGTACTGCTTGTAGTGCATTGCTTCGCCCTGTTCTCGGTGCAGTCCAAAGATTCGTCGAACGCATCGAGTCGTAGTTCACGGCCACGTCCTCAAACCATTTGTAACCCGTCGTGAAAATAAAAAACATTTGTAAACTTAACCAACGTAGTAAATTATTGTAAATATGGAGTCAGAGTTGCCGAAAAAGCTCGGCAGCTTCCAACAGACGAGTTAGATCGTATGCTGAGTCTGGGCGTCATCGAAGAATCGAACAGTAGTTGGTCCTCACCAGTCGTGCTAGTGCGCAAGCCTGGCAAAGTTCGATTATGTATTGATAGCAGAAAAGTTAATGACCTTACAGTTAAGGATGCCTACCCCATGCCACTTATTGATGGTATTCTGGCAAGATTACCCAAAGCCGAGTTCATTACGAGCTTAGATCTTAAAGACGCCTTTTGGCAAATACCTCTTGATATTAAATCGCGCGATAAAACAGCCTTTACGGTTCCTGGCAGACCCCTTTACCAGTTTACAGTGATGCCATTTGGGTTAACCAATTCACCTCATACCATGTCAAGGCTCATGGATAAAATTATTCCAGCCAACTTGCGTAATGCAGTTTTCATCTACCTGGATGACCTCTTGATCGTGTCTGACACCTTTGAGCGGCATATGGAAGTATTGGGGATTGTAGCTAACCAATTAAAGATAGCCAATTTGACCATAAATGTGGAAAAAAGTCATTTCTGCCGGAAAGAGGTCAAGTATTTAGGCCACGTAATTGGCAATGGCACCATTAGTACCGATCCAGAGAACATCCTAGCTATTACCGACTTCCCGGTATCTCGATCGATTAAGCAAGTTCGTCGTTTCCTTGGCCTAACTGGATGGTATCATAAATTTATCCAGAACTACGCTGCACTAGCGGCCGCTTTAACTGATACCTTAAAGCAGAAGCGTAGTTTTGGTTGGAGCGAAGAAGCCCAAAAAGCGGTTCGAGTTGTTAAAAGAGCATATGAGTACAGCTCCGGTGTTAAATAGCCCGAATTTTAACATACCCTTTAGCATACATTGTGATGCAAGTAACACCGGCGTAGGAGCCGTTTTGATGCAAAACACGGAGGATAATGAGGAAGTTCCTGTAGCCTTTATGTCCCGGAAGCTAAATAAATGCCAAAGAAACTACACAGTTACCGAAAAAGAGTGTTTAGCAGCAGTTTTAGCGGTTAAGAAGTTTAGGGCATATATCGAAGGACAAGAGTTTAGCATTATTACAGACCATGCGTCGTTAAAATGGCTAATGACCCAAGCGGATCTCAGTTCCCGGTTAGCTAGATGGTCCTTAAAACTTCAAGGTTTCCATTTTAAGATTCAGCATCGGAAGGGAAGTCAAAACATAGTTCCCGATGCTCTTTCACGTAAAAATACAGAAGACCTATCGTCATTAGTTATGGTCAGTATTGTAGATCTTCAGTCCGAACAGTTTAAGTCGCTTGAGTACGTATCCCTCAAAGACAAAATTGAAGAAAATGCGACCAAAACTCCCGATCTGAAGGTGGCAGACGGTTACATTTATCGACGAGCCGAACACGCTGCCAAAGAAAAAATAGCTGACGATTTGTGTTGGAAGCTTTGGATACCCCGTGGAAGAAGCCTTAAAAGATGCTCATGAAGACCCACTAGCATCCCACTGTGGTATAAATAAAACTCTAGAAAAACTTAGACGGTTTTACTATTGGCCAAGTTTGGTGTCCGACGTAAAAACTTACATAAACAAGTGTCATGTGTGTAAGATCACAAAGTATCCCAATCGCACCCTGCCACCTCCGCTAGGGAACACTGGTCAGTCTGATAGGGTTTTCCAGAAACTTTATGTCGATTTCCTTGGACCTTATCCCCGAAGTCGTTCTGGTCATATAGGGATATTTATCGTTTTGGACCACTTGTCTAAGTTTCCTTTTCTAAAGCCAGTAAAAAAATTTACTGCGGATGTAGTCACACGATACCTGGAAGAAGATGTGTTCCACTGCTTTGGTGTTCCTGAAACAATCGTTTCGGACAATGGGGTGCAGTTCAGGTCAGAGATTTTTAACTCTCTACTGAAGGAATATCACATTGTTCACACTTATACTGCTTTTTACGCTCCGCAGGCCAACGCATCAGAACGAGTGAACAGATCAGTTATAGCTGCAATAAAGTCCTATGTTCGCCCTGATCAAAAGAATTGGGATGAGCAGCTCAGTAGAATTTGCTGTGCTCTACGTTCCTCAGTCCATTCCGCTATAAATACCACGCCATATCGCCTCGCCTTTGGCCAGCACATGGTAGTCGATGGAGCCAGCTACAAGCTGTTAAGGAAGTTACAGATGTTAAAAGATCTTACGGTACAAGTGAGCACAGAAGATTCGTTTGACCTCATTAGGCACAAGGCCAAAGATACAATGCACGCCCAACACTCTCGAAATGAAAGAACGTATAATTTACGTAGTCGGGAGGTGTCATTTAGCGTAGGTCAGGAGATATATCGCCGGAACTTCCAGCAAAGCAACTTCGCCAAAGGCTTCAGTGCGAAACTGGCACCAGCTTTTATAAAAAGTCGGATAAGACGGAAGCTGGGAAATTGTTATTACGAGGTTGAAGATTTGCAGGGTAAAGTGATATTAAAATTTCATGCAAAAGACTTAAAACAATAACTTGCTCTTTTTAATATAAACAGGTTCAAGCGAGGATCCCACTTTTGGTGTTTTTCCCCCAAAGTGTGATTTTGGTAGGGGGGAAATTGTAGTGTCGCTTGAAACATCGATTTTGGAGCCACCGAAATTAAAATTTCCCTAGGCGAATGTGGTAGCTTATGCTAGCGCCCCTAGTGGTCATAATCGGCGGTGCAAGGTGGCAACGATCGGGAGTGAGAGTAGTGTAGCTACCTATTTATGTTAATTATTTGGAAATGGCGGATGCGGCACTTTCGCTGTTATCAGGTTCTGGTAGGTGCGCCCAGCGACGGTCATGGTCTTTTCTATGCTGGCTCCCACCCGAAGAGGTTACGTCGCTAGTACAAATCAATTAAATAGCGACTACCTTAATCCGCGCCGAGGTCAACTCACAGTGTTTCTGCCCGATATTTAAAATAAAACAAGATCGAAGCAATTATAAAGTGAACAAAAGTGTGGAGCAGCAACTAGATACCAAGTGGAAATAACAAGAGTGCCAATCGCCAATAAGCGGTAAGTCGGCCAGTTTTTATTCCAGTAGAATTGTTGGGCAACCATTTTTTTTTATGTGCAATTGCAGAATTGGCACTTAGTGCAATTTTAAATTCGAATTGCCCAGTCCAGCCAGTTGCCAGCCCAATGGTCGCTGGCTCATTAGCAGCTGACTCCAAGCAACAAAGCAGCTGGCATGCAGACAGCTGAGCGGGAATTCGCCGCATTCCATTCCTTGCTGTGTGACACTCATACCCTACCGTTGCACTTTGGAATTGTGATACTTTCAAATATAAGTTCACTCCCAAGGCAACCTATGTTTTTCCCGCTATCACTGTTGTTTCCTATAGAATATTGGTAGCAGGAGTTAAGTGAGCTACCTTTTTGTTACCACTAACCGCTTCAATTTCGTTCTATACTATTTTTGTTTTGTTTTCTCTCGTATTCTCTTCTATTTTGACTAGCACATACAAGATAAGCTGATACAAACCGTTACAGCCATATGAAAACGATCGCATGGCCCCCATACATTTTTATGAATATATTTTTTTTCTTTTATTTTTTTTTGTTTTATTACCGACTAATCTCAGCATTATTAATAATAAATAAACTCAATTACTCGATTCGAGAGAAATGCCTTGTAACCGGAGCCCAGAAAAGTTCATTAATCTGAAAGACACTGAGACGCTTTGCTATTTGTGTTCGAAAAACATCGTTAATAAAGATCTAGCATTGGTGACGAGTTGTGGTCACACCTTCCACCCAGAGTGCTTTAATTCAGCCAATGGTCAAAGAAAACGTTGTCCAGTGTGCAAACAGGCCTTAGAAGTAGGAAGCTCAACGTCCATATCAAATCTTAACACCGCACGGGCATCAACTTCGAATTATAGAGCACCTTCAGTCGCTCAGTCACTTCTTACTAGATCGAAAGCCAAACAAATCGAAGGTGCAACCATGTCTGACCCTGCAAATGATCAGGAGAATGTAGAGGCTTCCACCCCGTCTTCGGCTAACAGAGCTACGAGGGATGTATTGCAAACAGTATTGGCTGGCACGATATCAGCTGAAATGGCAAAGCAAACTCTAGCTATGACCTCAGCATTGGCCCAGTTAACCGATAGATTAACACAAGCTATTAGTCTAGGCTTACAAGCCAGTTCGACTACTTCAGCTAGAGAGGGATCTCCAATCGGAATGGAACAGATGCCAACAGTGACACACGTTGAGCAGCAGAATCTTCAGCAACTGTTGTCCAATTCACAGTCTCATTCAGCTTCTGTTCAAGCAAGGGAATCTGATCGAAGATCCAGTCAGACTCCACTAGCTTTTGAGGTGCGTCCCGACCGCATAAGTCAGATAATGGCAAATTGGAAGTTGCGATTTAACGGGAAGGATTCGATGTCTATAGATAACTTCATTTATAGAGTCGAAGCCTTGACCCATCAAACCCTGAATGGGAATTTTGAATTGGTTGCTCGCCATTCTAGCAACTTATTTGAGGGCAAGGCTAGTGAATGGTACTGGAGATACCACAAAAGTGTATCTCAGATTCGTTGGTATGACTTGTGTTTGGCTCTAAAAGGGCAATTTAAAGATTCTCGCACTGATCGCATAATACGTACTGAAATCGAAGAACGTAAACAGCGTTCCAATGAATCGTTTGACGATTTCTACAGCGTGATCGCCTCCTTGGCAGATAAGCTCACACACCCATTGTCAGAGATGTCTTTATTAG